GTTGGGGGCGTGCTCAGGTTGTTGAGGTTGTTGTCCTGGCACCACACTGCTAGGTCTCTGACCTCCTCCCTATAGGCTGTCTCATCGTCGTCGGTGATCAGGCCTACCACCGTTGTGTCGTGTGGAAACTTAATGATGGCGTTGGAGTCGTGCGCTGCCACGCAGTCGTGGGTGAACAGGGAGTACAGGAGGGTGTCTGGGATGATGGTGTTGACGTGAGCCAGCCTTTCAAAGCATTTCATGGCTACAGATGTTAGTGCAACGGGGCGATAGTCATTTAGACAGGTTACCTTGGCGTTCTTGGGCACAGGGACAATGGTGGTCTGCTTGAAATATGTAGGTATTACAGACTGGGTCAGGAAGAGGTTGAAAATGTCAGAGGCCCTTACTTGCTTTTCTTAACCAGAGGAGATTAACTTTACGATGAAAGCCAGCACTCTGTTGACTTTACCACAGTCTTGTCTACAACACTCTGAACATTTACCCTTTACTTGGCCACACTTTAGGATGAATACTTTGCCTCTGCTCTTTTTCAGTGGTTGCTCATTCCTGTCTGCTCACCCTGGCAACCATGTAGCCAATCATCTATCATGGCCCTTAAGTAGGAGAGACCCCACTGGTACGGTAGCTCCTTAGGGACACACTTAGTTCCACCTCCCAGAGGAAAGCATTTTTACTTTGTTGGCTGTCTAATACGCAGGCAGGCTCAAATTAATTAATAGATCCTTTCAAGCACAGAAGGATCTTCATTAATGATCAGTGTTTTCTTATTGAAAGGAGTGGAGAGTTTTTGTGATCTCTTATCATTGTCTGACCAGGCAGAAGAACTCTGGTCCTCTGTGACACAGGATCAACCAAGAGTCTCAGTCACAGCTGTACTATGGTTACTTTACCAACAGAGTGGATGCGAGCTCCTCCCATAGCGGGCTATCCTAGTCCCAACATTAGATTCACATGGATTTTAAATTGTCAAACGCTTTAGTCATGGTTATTATTATTCAGTGCTGCATGAGGTATATAGGCGTGTGTGTGTGTCTATGCGTGTGTCTAAGAGTGCGAGGGATGGGGGAGAGTGTTTTGGCTGAGCGGTCCCTGTTGACTCTTTATAGTCGTTCCCATATTGAGATATCACTGTAATGATATTGTGCAATTTGTGCTGAACCATTAGCCTCTAGCCCTCATACTTCTGTAAACTGCTGGCTAGAGTGTCAGGTTCGTAGACTGAGAGACTGACATACCAATCTTGGGGAATGAGTTGTTGAAATCACAATGACACTTTCCCCTAGCCTGGTCCCAGATCTGTTTGTGCTGTTTAGCGAACTCCTATGGTCATTGCCATGCCAAGACAGCACAAACATATTTGGGACCAGGCTAACTCCCCACAGATTAGCTGAGTTCTCAGAGTACCTGGAGCCTGACACAGTCAGAACCGGACAGGAGCAGCTTTCCTGGAAGGAACTAAAGAAAAGCCCTTGTGTCAGGGTGCCTTTAGTCTGTCCCTGCAGCTTAGGACAGACAGGAGAAAAGCATCTCCTGAGCTTCAAAAATCCCCCAAATAGAAATCTGTGGCCCAGGGATTACCAGTGCTGCCTGCCATGCAGTTAGGATGCTGGGTGGGGAGTGAAATTAGGATTCTCATCTGCTTCTGCAGTCACTGGAGCCTGCAGCTAGTGGACACATTATTTAGTGTGCTGTATGTATTCTGTGCTTATGGCAGTCTCCCTCAGTGAGTTCTTATGACAGTTTGTTTTGTCATGCTGTCCTTTTAGTAATCATAACATGAGAATGGCCCACCAGTACCTCATTATTCCTCTCAGAGAATGCCGTAATAACCAGTTTATCTTGGCAGGGCAATCACTTGACCCCCTCTCTACCTTCAAATCAAATGTTATTTGCCACACGCGCCGAATACAACAGGTGTAGACAATGCAAATAGTCTGGGTAGCCATGATTAGCAGTTCAGGAGTCTTCATCATCCTATCTTTGTTTCTTCATTCTCTCTGTTCTCTCTATTTCCTCCGTCTCCTCTCTCTATCTTTAGAACTCTGTTCAGAACAGTACATTGTCAAGAACAGTACATTGTCAACCAATTTTCAGTAACATTCCTGAAGTCTGAGAACTGTGAGCTATTTTGGTCCTCCTGAACTGTCTCGTCTGGCTTCTTTTCTCTTCCATGTAGTTGTCTGGCTAGCTAGTAGTTTCCTGCACAATATTGTTTTCTAGCTAGCAGTCAGAATGGGGTCTGTGCTGTTAGGGAGGTTTAACAGTGGAAGAGAGAGGATGCATCCCAAATGACACCCTATTCCCTATGTAGTGCACTACCTTTGACCAGGGCCCATAGTGCACTACATAGGAAATAGGGTGCCATTTGGGACCTAGTCAGAGACTGTTGCAGTGCGGCGGACACTTGAACCGTTGAACTTCCTGAAGGATACAGACTGCAGTCAGACAACTTCCTGTGAAGATGGATAGGGCCGTACAATGATGTGAATGTGTCTCTGTGGGGAGACAATGCAGTGTTTCACCTCAACCAGCGGAGGGAGCCAGAGAGGACAACCTATCTCCATGACATCACCTGTTATACCTCCTCTATCATCAATGACACTTATGAACTTACCTGTCTGCTACCCCACTCTCTTCCTTTGAGAATTCAGCCTAGGAAATAGGTAATACTCTGCACATTAATACAGGAAGCCTACATACAGGACTGTCCAGCTTACAGTAATCATATCACTGGGCAGAGCAGGCATGATCTCATCGAGGCATGTGGATTACTAACACGACCCCTGCTCTGCCACAGGCACAGCTAACGACCAAGCTACTGCCCCCAGAGATGGCAGACGCGTGTGTGTGTGTGTGTGCGTGAATATGCGTGTGTGTGTGCATATGCGTGTGTGGGTGTGTTCCCGTAGGGCGTGTGAGTCAGTCGCGTGTCTCTGCAGGCTGTGTTAATTGGTCCCTATGTGTGTATAAATCAGCTCGACATTTGTGTCAGCGTTTGATCAAGTGCTGCTGTGACTGCTCTGATCAATAAACTAAATGCATCATCGTGTTTTGCTCTTTCGCTAAAGGTGTTTCGGTAAATTGCCTTGCTGTTTAAAGCTGGTATTTACATGGGTTATCTCAAACGTCTTGTGCTCAAATTCTGTGAAATTCGTCATGGATCTTGTCTCAAGGAATGTTTCTATTTCAGCTATCTAAAAACTCTCTGCAGATAATTTAACGATCAGTTAAAAACGGATGGAAGATGTTCACTCAATGAGATGTTGTTGAATAAAGCTGACATTACTGCTAGAAAATGATTGATCCATCCCACATGCTGCAGTCCCCTGTTTTCTCTCTGGTATCGTAATGTTACTAGACTCAGTGGAAAGCAAATGGAAGGTGTGCCGTCAATGAGATAGATGTTGTTGGATGAAGCTGACATCAGGATTGAGCCTTGGCCAATGACCACCAGGCTAGGTTTCTTTGTTTTTTCCTCACCCAACGGCCTGAATAAACAATGATTGGTCTGAGATGACATCACAGGTGCTGGCCCCTCCTCTCCTCTCTGTGGTCGAGAGTCAGTGTCCCTATGGACATGTCACATCATGCTGCCAGCATCCTCCTGCTACACACACACACTGCTGTTTTTGACAGCTAACCCTTGACCAGAAGGGCTTAAGGGGGAAGCTGGTCTAGCACTGTGTCATCACAGAGCTGCACATGCACCCTCACACAGGCACGCGTCATGCAGACACACACACACACACACACACACACACACACACACACTGTTAATCCAGAAGCCTGGTGAGGAAAATGCTTTAGTGAATGTGCCATAAATCATGCTGCTGAGGAAGCTGGTGTGTAAGAAGATCTGTGCCTGTAAGAACCTGCTGCTATTATCTCTTCTCTTCCTGTGGTGTGTCTCTCTCTCTCTCTCTCTCTCTCTCTTTCTCTCGCCCTCTCTCTCCATCCATTCCTCTCACACTACCTACTGTCATTTCAGCAAATGTTTTCCTCCTCTTTCCCCCAATTTATCTGCCTTTCTCAAATGTATCTCTCTCTCTCTCTCTCTCTCTCTCTCTGTGTCTCTCTCTCTCTCTGTGTGTCTGTCTCTTAGACTTAATAGATATATCAGTTTCATGGTAATTACAGGTTAGCAGTCTAGTGGAGGGATGGAGCGTTGTGAGAGGAGGATGAGTGGGAGATGGATCAAAATCAAAGTGGTGAATGGGCGTTTCTCTCTGTGTGCCTGTTGCTTTGTTTATGGAGCTATTGTCTTTTAGTGTGAGTGGTGTCTTGTTTTGCTATCTTTCAGAATGATCACTACTATTGTGATCTGTACAGACTAGCATACATTAGTTAATGGCCTACTGTGTGTTTGGATTGTTCCTAAAAATGGTTTATTATTGTCTGTTGTGGGCATTTGTCTTACGTGCTGAGAAGAATAGCTTTGGGATTATTTTCTGTAATGAAAAGCGCTACACAAGTTAAATAAAAATAAAATAATAATGATAATAATTATTATTATTATATTGCTGCCGGCTCTAAAATAATGCTGGCTTGGCTCGAGGCATCTCTCCAGGATCATATTGTCCCTGTATTCATAATCCCTTGTGTAAACTGGAAAACTGGAGAGGTGACAGAACGGCTTGTATTTGTGTAACAGTGACAATCCAGGCTAGCTACACTCAACACTGCAGATGGGTGGGTTCAGGCAATCACACTCTCAGCCAAAAGAACAGTGTCATCTTCAGTAGGGTTGCAAAATTCTGGGAACCTTCAATAAATTCCCTGGTTTTCCAGAATTCCTAGTCTTCAGTAGGCACAAAACATAAGAAAACTGTCAGAAAACCGAGTGAAACTGGGACGTACTGGGGTAGCTGTCCATTATAAAATGCTTGTTTTCGTTTCCCTATGGTGTGTCCTAATGAACATGGTGGTCACAAATGCAGAGAGGATATGACTTCAACCTGGATTAACACCACTGTTCTTCTCACTCTACCTTGGCAGATAAGAACTTTGAAGATGAGGACTCTGTGGACGGGGGCCGGTCCTCCTCCTCCGCATCGTCCTCCAAGGCGCCCCCCAGTGGGAGGAGGACTGTAGCTGCAGCTTCTGTCCGGAGACCCAGCTCTGCCACTGGACCCGGCAAGATCTCAGCTAAAGATGCTGCTGCAGGTGCTGTTGACGAGGAGGACTTCATCAAGGCTTTTGAAGAGGTTCCTACTATCCAGGTAACCTGCACAGATAGGGGCGACGTGTGTGTGTTTACAGTATAAATTGCCATCAACCCCAGTCTGACTCCTGTCCTTGTCTCTTCTCTCCTCTCCAGATCCACTCCAACAGAGAGATGGAAGACAACCTCTCCAAGGTCCGGGAGGTTCTGTCTGACGACAAAAACGACTGGGAGCACAGAGTTGTCGCTGTAAGGACCAAACACACAAATGATCAGTCTCTAAATGAACATTTCAGCACCTCATACTGTGTATTCTTGCAGTCAGAAACGATGGTTGTAGCGTAATATTGTTATTTGTGTTTCCTTTTTTCTAGCTGAAGAAGGTGCGTTCTCTGCTCCTGGCTGGAGCACTGGATTATGATAGTTTCCCTCAGCAGCTCCGTCTTCTGGAGGCCCCTCTGAAGCTGTCGGCTAAAGACCTGAGGTCCCAGGTGGTACGAGAGGCCTGCATCACACTGGGGTAAGGACCTGCAGACAAAACAGCTTTCAACCTCTGTCTTCCACTTCTATACCAAGTGGAGTTAACTACACTGTTAAACCTATCTGTTCCAAGAGCTGCTGTCTCAGACTCGGGTTGAGTATGGTTGACCTGGAGATGTAGACCGTGATTAGAGATGTAGCAGCTCAGTGAAACTGGTGGAAAGCGCCTGGTCTCGCCTGGCCTGGTTTGTCAATCCATCAACCTGATGCTCTTTATATGTGTATCTTGACTCTCTGCTCTGTTGCATGTCATCACTACCACATTAGGAGCACATCACTGACTGACAATTAACAACTCTGAGTCTGGAAAACGTGTAGGCTGCTACTACTACTGCTCCATATCTAAGTACGGGTACACTAGTCTAGAACCTCAAATCAAATGTTTCTGTGGAGATTTGAAAACTGATTGATATTGATTTGATGTCTTGAATCTCTCCCCTCTCCTCTTCAGATACCTGTCCACGTTGCTGGGCAACAAGTTTGACCACTGTGCAGAGACCCTGATGCCCACACTGCTCAACCTGGTGCCCAACAGTGCCAAGGTCATGGCCACGTCTGGGGTGGCAGCCATACGCCTCATCCTCAGGGTGAGTACTGTACACACACATATGCACAGGCAATCATAAATGTCAGGGGTTGACCAACAGTAGATGAGTGTGATTCATGCATTTGCTACTGTAAAAAACATTTTGTTATGTATTTATACTCAGTTGGAATGATATCTGGTTGCAAGATGATGTGTTGTTAAGACACTTGGAGGTGTGAAATAAACTGTATTGGAAGATCTCTGGGACCTCCTCCTCTTCTCTTCCAGCACACACACTACTCACGTCTCATCCCCATCATCACTAGTAACTGCACGTCCAAATCAGTGGCCGTCAGAAGGTAACGACTCAAGGATCTTCTGTGTGATATATTATTTTGTGTGAAAATCTTCTAGCTTTTCCTGAGGTTTCCCTTATAATGTGTTAACTCATCATGTCTTCTCTCTCCAGGCGCAGTTATGAGTTCTTAGAGCTGTTATTACTAGAGTGGCAGACGCACACACTGGAGAGGTAAGCACACACCCTTTCAGCATCCACGCTGCATGCTAATACTATTTATCTAGGACATAAACACTAACAACAGACTGTAGCATGCTTGTCTGCTTTTCTGCTCAGGATCCAACCAGTATTTGTGTTTGTGTACGGATGTAGGATCTTAATTTGATCTCCTTGTTGCAGGAGAACTGCAATGCAGGATATTTAAAACGTGTAGTGTATTTGAGGTTTAAAAAGGCTTCTGAAGTTTTTCACTTAGAAATTTCCCTTACGAAAAACATATCAACCCCTAAAAAAAATTCCATTCATTATAATCCACATAATAATTCATATTTCCTGTTGCTGCTGCACTTTAGATTTCCCCCTCTCCTCTCCTCCTCTTCTCCTCTCTCCTCACTTCTCTTCTCCTCTCTGGCGTGTGACATTTACTTTAAGTAGTTGGGTGTTGGTTGACTGGGCGACTGATGATCCCTAGTTAAATTTATGATGCTGGAGGGCTGGAGCGAGCCACGACAACCCTGCTGAGATTTTAAAACGCATGTAGAAAGCGTGCTGTGTGGTCACTTTCCCCCTGTGGAGAAGGAGAGTGGAGAATAGAAAAAGAGAGGAGTGTATACTGAAGTCTCAGGGGAAATGAGGAAGTCTGTGTGTCCTCTCCATTGGTGTAGTTGTGGTTTCCTGGCTGCTGTACCTGAAGTTGTCTCTGTCATGTTTCCCTACTATCCCACCAGGCACGTGACTGTTCTGACTGAAACCATCAAGAAAGGGATCCATGATGCTGACTCAGAGGCCAGATCTGTCGCGAGAAAGTAAGTTCTTTGGTTGTTTATTTTTGTAAATTAGTCAGAATTTGTCCTCAATTAATTAATCTTAGCAGTTCTGTAACAAGTAATATATTGCTTTATGACTGCATGACCGACAGAAGTGGATGACGATATGGAATAATATGCTATCTGTCTGTGTCTCTGATTTTAATACTAGTGATCATTTGAAAAAGTATTCATTCTTCTGGATTTTTTATTACATAGCATTGTCTCATATGTCACTTTCTCCGGCGATGATGTACACTATATATACAAAAGTATGTGGACACCCCTTCAAATTAGTGGATTTGGCTATTTCAGCCACACCCGTTGCTGACAGGTGTATAAAAAATAAATAAACGTGGCACCGCCATAGGATGCCACCTTTCCAACAAGCCAGTTCGTCAAATTTCGGCCCTGCTAGAGCTGCCCCGGTCAACTGTAAGTGCTGTTATTGTGAAGTGGAAACGTCTAGGAGCAACAACGGCTCAGCCGCGAAGTGGTAGGCCACACAAGCACACAGAACGGGACCACTGAAGTGTGTAGCGCGGAAAACTCATCTGTCCTCGGTTGCAACACTCACCATGCGCAATGCCAAGCGTTGGTGGAAGTGGTGTAAAGCTTGCCACCATTGGACTCTGGAGCAGTGGAAACGTGTTCTCTGGAGTGATTAATCACGCTTCATCATCTGGCTGTCCGACGGAAGAATCTGGTTTTGGGCGGATGCCAGGAGAACGCTACCTGCCTGAATGCATAGTACAAACTGTAAAGTTTGGTGGAGGAGGAATAATGGTCTGGGGCTGTTTTTCATGGTTCGGGCTAGGCCACTTAGTTCCTGTGAAGGGAAATCTAAACGCTACAGCATACAATTACATTTTAGACGATTCTGTGCTTCCAACTTTGTGGCAACAGTTTGGGGAAGGTCCTTTCCTGTTTCAGCATGACAAGGCCCCCGTGCACAAAGTGAGGTCCATACAGAAATGGTTTTGGTTGAGATCGGTGTGGAAGAACTTGACTGGCCTGCACAGAGCCCTGACCTTAACCCCATCGAACACCTTTGGGATAAATTGGAACGCCGACTGTGAGCCAGGCCTGATCGCCCAACATCAGTGCCCGACCTCACTAATGCTCTTGTGGCTGAATCGAAGCATGACCCCGCAGCAATGTTCCAACATCTAGTGGAAAGCCAGAAGAGTGGAGGCTGTTATAGCAGCAAAGGGGGGACCAACTCCATATTAATGGCCATGATTTTGGAATGAGATGTTCGACAAGCAGTTGTCCACATACTTTTGATATGTCGTTTATTCAGAGTCAGGTGTGCTGTCATATGAGTCATTTGCTGACAGTTATGTTAATCTACTGATACAAGGGGCTGTGACCTTCATGTGACCTCTGACCTTGTCTCCCCCCTCCCTCCCTCACCCATAGGTGTTATTGGGGTTTCCATGGCCACTACAGCCGGGAGGCGGAGCATCTGTTCCAGGCCCTAGAGTCGACCTATCAGAAGGCTCTACAGTCCCACCTGAAGAGTTCTGACAGTGTCGTGTCCCTCCCCCAATCAGACCGCTCATCCTCCTCCTCACAGGAGAGCCTCAAGTAAGATATCCCTTCTCCTTCCTCCTCCCTTCATCCGTCCACCCTTTCCTCCATCCCTTCCACAGCATAATATTTCTGAGAAATGTTGCCATGATTCATGATGATGTGTTGAAAGAGATTTAAAAGCGTAATTAACATTGATTTGAAGACTGCACTAATGGATATGTCTGCCTCATGGACAGCAATCATAATCAGATTAGGAAAACACTGGGAGTGATTTTATTGGTTGATCCAGTTTAACAATCCCCCACTGAGTGTTGACCATTGATCTCATATACCATGATTCACCAGCACAGTGTTTGTTATGATGAGTCCGGAGTTGGGATTTGGACAGAGTGATGTCATTTTCCTCTAAGACTGAGGATGGTTTTCCTGCATCATCATCAGATGGGTCCGAGCCCTGTACTGATGTCCAGACCTAGGCCTATGACTTTGTCTTGTTTTGATAGTTTGATACACAGTGATGCTGGGCTGTTTGTCAAAAATCTGTTGTTTGTTAACCTCATAGTGGTGTGTCCTCCTGTCTCTTCAGCCGGCCCCTGTCTGTCAAGAGTGCCATAGGAGGCAGCATGACAAGGGGTAAGAGTACTACTAAAAGTATTTGTAATTTCTCAAAGTGTGTGGTGTATTCCATGCCAACTCTTTTATATGTATTTATAATCTGTTGTTATTTCAACCTCTCCCCCATGGCAGGTAAGATGGTGAGTTCCAGGGTGAACTCCAACTCCGGCGGTTCTCTTCAGCGCTCCCGTAGTGATATCGACGTGAACGCTGCGGCCAGCGCCAAGTCACGCTTGGTCACCGTGCCCTCCGCTTCTCCCTTCAGCTCAGCAGCTGCCCTGCCCCCAGGCTCCTACGCCTCACTAGGTAAAACACACACACACACACACTACCCCACTCCCCAGGGCCATCTATGCCAGGCCCTAACAACCCCACACACACCAAACAGCATTTCAAAATATAATGGTCACTGGATGTCAGTTCTGTATCAGTCATTTCTCAAAGTCTCCACAATGTCTTAATTACGTTATTTAGAAGAAATGTTAATCTGAAAACCACTGGCTTTTATGGCCAGAGTGGATATGTTAATTAATGTGATGGTTGTTAGTAAGACATCGTTAAGCTGTGCTCTGAAGAGAAACATACAAAAAGGCCAAAAGTTTTGTCTGTAAACTAATTAAACCCAACATGACAAATGGCTGCCTATAATCACTCAAAGATATGGCTACTGACCTTTAGATAAATATTCAAGACTTTGATAACTAATGATGAACAACTCTCCATGTACCCCCCCCAATTTGATACTGAAGCGTGCTGCAATCCAGATGCTGTCCCTCTGTTCTTGCCCTAACACTTCCCTGTGGAGTTTACTGCTTGCTGTCCATTGAAAAATTAGATCTCTCTTCTCACCACCCCACTCACCGCGCGCGCTCTGCGCTCAACCCACTCTCCGCTCTTCCTCGCTCTCTGCTCCTCTCTCGCGCTCTCTCTCTCTCTCCTGCCTCTCCTTTCCTTCCCTCCTCTCTCGGTCCTCTCTCCTCCTCACCACCTCCATCTCTCTCTCTCCTCTCTCTCCTTCTATCTCTCTCACTCACCACTATATCTCTCTTCTCTCTGCCTCTCTCTTTTTCTCTTTCTCTCTCTCTCTCCTCTCTCTCTCTCCTCTCCTCTCGCTCGCTCGCTCCTGCCTAACTGGTACTAATGTCTAACTCTATACCTCTTCTTCCACTCGCTCCCCTCAACCGCCGCCCCCTGCTTTGCTTTATGCTCAAAAGATGGCACACCCGGTAAAATTGATACTGGTAAGATTGTGTGTGTTCTGCGTCTGTCGGGGACAGTCAACTGCTCGACTGGCCCCCCTCCCTCCTGTCTGTCCTCTTTTCCGTGTTGTCTAAACACCAACGTTCCCCCCCGCTGGCCATCTGTGGAACTCTGCATGAATGGACTGTCTGCATGGTCCTTCTGTCCCCTACTAAACACCTTACTGTTAGTGTCCCCTGGAAGTCACTTTCCAGAGGTTGTTAATCAACCTTTAGGTACTGATTTGTAGACCTCATATTGCCTGGAAACTCTTAACTTAACCGATAGTGCACTACTACATCATTCTGACCTATTTAGTATGGTATATCTGGTAGGTCTGCATGTTTGACCAACATGGTGATAATTATTGATTACTGACGACAGACCGGGTTAGATAGCTATCAGCAGTCTACACAGCACACCATAAAACCTCTTCTCTCCCGCACGTTGTACACAACTCATTTTGTTATCCTCCTTACTCGTTATTCTTTACGTTTTGTACTGTTTATTAGTGATTTGCGAAGGGAAAGGAACCTGTGATGTGCGTGTAAAGGTTAATGTTGCATGCAGTGAAACTCGCCCACCCTGTGGTCTCTGTCTGTGTGTGAGTGGTCTGAGTTAGGGGTCAGAGGTCGCTGAGGTTTAGTCTTGCCTGCCTCTCAGGGTGATCGTCTCCCTCTTGGTTTTCTACTTTTAGTCCCCGGTATCTACATGTACTCTTATTATTATCTACATGTCACTGAGACTTTCTAGGCCCAAAGTGTATGTGTTTAAAGAAAGGGCTGTTCCCTATCCTGTTGTGTAATGCGGTTGTTCTAGAATCTAGTGCAACGTTTTCGGACTAAGGAGGACCTCGCCTATCAAACATCTTCCGCCCACATTCTATCAAAGAGCTTGTGAAGACTGTCTGATAATAGGAGTTACTATTGGCGAAGGTGTTCCTTAATCTAGGGCCAAGTTCCAGCTGTGTAGCGTTTGTGTGTCTGTACTTGGTGAAAATTAGAGGCTGGGTGGAAAAAATGTAAAGCTGCTTTTTTTTTTTTTTTTACACAGTCCAAAATTAGCAGACATTTGAACACCCCAATCAGTTTCTCAGCGTCAGTCTGTGTTGTCCTAGCTTTTAGGAACATTACTTGGCTGGATTGCAAGTATGACAATACTAGAGACATTTTATTTGGGATTTTACAAATTAATATCTTACATTGTGTATAATATGCACAATTTGACATACTCCAAAGCAAGGTGTGTTGGGTCATGATGTTGCTAGTTGCATTAGACAAACCTTTCTCAGATCCAATGCATGTTTGATGGAACCCTTGAGGGAGAAGGTGTTCTTTGTGGGAATCTGTAGAAATATTATGTTTGTTTCTCCCTATATCTGTGTTTCAGAACACTCTCTCCTCTCAGTCAGGTCTTTTGTCACCATCTGTTTATAGTCGTTTCTTTCAGTTTTGTGTTGTGGTGAACTGTGGTTCACAGCTGCCTGGATACAGTATCATTTGTAATGTAGTGTCTTCAACTCTCTCACTAACTCCCTGTGTTTGTCCATCTCTCCCTGTGTTTGTCCATCTCTCCCTGTGTTTGTCCATCTCTCCCTGTGTTTGTCCATCTCTCCCTGTGTGTGTTGTTGTCTCCAGGTCGTGTGCGTACGAGGAGAACAAGCTCCGGCAGTGCTGTCGGAGCCAGCGCTACTGTGACTGACAGCAGGGGGCGCAGCCGAGCCAAAATGGTGTCCCAGTCCCAGCGTGAGTACACACACACACACCGTCAGCAAAATTTCTCCCTCACTGCACACTGTCTGAACTCAGGGAAGCCAGTCCACATTTTCATCTCCAGTCTCTTTCATGTAAACCCTCAGTATGACGTTTAACCTGCCTGCTGTGAGGTCATACTAGGTTCCCCTTCAGTTTCTCTCGTCAGTCTGTGTGATGTTTTACCTCATAAACTTAGCATCCTGAAGGGACTTGGAGCCACTGTTATTTACTGCACCCTTTCACAAGATGTATTTGTGTCGTGTGTGTGGTTTTTCTCTCTTTGCGTCTGTGAAGCCTTGATGAGGGGCTTCAATGATTATTGCACGTGTAACATGACATGCACAGTTAACATCTGGCCCAGTGCATGCTGGGTAAACACTACTTCCTGTCACATTGACCGTTTAATTTTCATGCCCTGTTCTGCCGCTCGCTACCATAACAACCACAGGATCCAGATCTGCTAACCCCATTGGGGGTGGTAAGGCCCGAACTTCATCCAATCAGAGTAAAGCGTCCAGTCCTTAGTCCCGCCCCTTCCTCCTCTGCAGATCTCTGCATGTCAATCAACTCATTCTTTTAGTTTTTAGACTCATAATGTCATACCAGCATGCTCCATTCAACTCAAGTGTCTGTATTATAATACCTTATTTTATAGTCTCACAAGCTGTTTTGCGTTGTCTAATATGTGGTTCCTTCCGTATTGCCTTATTATCTTAAATTGTTGATTGTTACATTTCGTCGTTAATATTGGTTGTTGTCCAATGTCGTTAATATTGGTTGTTGTCTATGTCCTCTGAACTGTTTTCGTTGTTGTTGTAATCACTGGTTTGTTTTCCCAAAGCCCAGTTACACCTTGGATTCAACCCCATCTTGTTTGTTAGCTGTTTGTCTGTCTCTATTTATCTCATCAAAGCTGAAATCCCATATCTATGTTATCCACCTAGTAGGATATACAGAGAATGTCATTGTCCCATTATCTCAAGTGTTGGTTAGACATTCTGTGGTTATTCCCCTCAGAATCACCAACCCACTCTAAACACACAGAGACACTGTATGTGCCCAGTTGGTGTGTGGCGCTAGCAAAGCCAAGGTCGTGGGTTCAATTCTCACTGGGATCACATACACTTATTATGCACTCACTGTACTAGAAGTCGCTTTAGATAAGTGTCTGCTAAGTGTTATTACTACAATAAAAGCAACATATGCAATTAGAAACATTGAAGTAATTAAATATTTCCCCAAAAAGAGGGAGAGAGTATGAGGGAATTCAGCTTTGAGCCGTGACAGAACCTTCCCAGCATGCCATGGAGAGGTGCGTCGCTTGCTGTGACCCATCATATCTTGTCTGAAAGGGTGTAACGTCTCACTCTAAGACTGTGGGTCCTGTGTGTTATCCTTCCTGCAGCTGGCAGTCGCTCCAGTTCCCCTGGCAAGCTGCTGGGCCACTCGTCTGGGTACGGGAGGATCAGCAGGCCCCCCTCAGCCTCCAGAACCCCTGCAGACAAGAGGAGCAAGGTCCCCCGCAGCCAGGGCTGCAGTAGAGATTCCTCGCCCAACAGACTGGGCCTAGGTAAGGGACATTTACATGACATCACAATATCCGCATCATGCAAGTAAACACAACATAGAGCATGCATGCACTCTATACACTAGGAAAAATACATTTGTCATTTGCTAGCAACGCACTTAGTAACTAAGTAACTGCTTTATTAAACAGTGCATAGTATAACTGACACACCGGATGCACGTACATACAGTGGGGAGAACAAGTATTTGATACACTGCCGATTTTGCAGGTTTTCCTACTTACAAAGCATGTAGAGGTCTGTAATTTTTTATCATAGGTACACTTCAACTGTGAGAGACGGAATCTAAAACAAAAATCCAGTTATCCCTGATATCCTTACACAGCTCTCTGGTCTTGGCCATTGTGGAGAGGTTGGAGTCTGTTTGATTGAGTGTGTGGACAGGTGTCTTTTATACAGGTAACGAGTTCAAACAGGTGCAGTTAATTCAGGTAATGAGTGGAGAACAGGAGGGCTTCTTAAAGAAAAACTAACAGGTCTGTGAGAGCCGGAATTCTTACTGGTTGGTAGGTGATCAAATACTTATGTCATGCAATAAAATGCTAATAAACTATTTAAAAATCATACAATGTGATTTTCTGGATTTTTGTTTTACATTCCGTCTCTCACAGTTGAAGTGTACCTATGATAAAAATGACAGACCTCTACATGCTTTGTAAGTAGGAAAACCTGCAAAATCTGCAGTGTATCAAATACTTGTTCTCCCCACTGTAGCATACAGCACATGCTGATAAATAATACCACACTGATGAGGGCCATGTATGTATCAAAACATACCGATATGCCCAACGTCGTCATTGTACACTCCCATCTATCTAGTGATAAACGTAGATACAGTACACCAAGTATGTCCTTTGAAGCTCAGATATACATGGTCTTGGTTTCATAAACACAAAACAAGGAAACACAATAAACACAAAAGATAAGTCTTGAAAGCAATGGACCTTTTGCACTCAAATACTGGATGAAAATGCTGAATGGCAAAGAACTGAATGGCAAAAGGCAAGGAGGGTGAATGGTAAGAGCTTGTCTTTCAGCTTCTACAGACTATAACTGTCTCTCAGGGTTAGCAGCTAAGTAGAACTGTGTTTTGGTAGAGGTCTCTCATCTTGGTAGTATTTCTATCTTCCAGGCATGTCACATCATTGGGGTGGTACCTCCTCTTTCAAGAAAGTGGATGAGCCTCTGTAGGGCTAGTCTGGTCATCAGCAGCCCAGCTTATGTCCTTCCAGTCAGTCTGAGTCACTGGCTCTTTTCTGACTCTGTCCTATCGCTGTGATTGATTGGTCTGTGTATTTCTTAAATGCCAGGACTGACCAACCAGCTCTCTCCATCTTGGCTTGCTATCAGTGTGCTGTCTGAGGTCACCCTCTTGTCTGTCAGTCTGTTGTAAATAATACCATCATCTCTGAGTTGGGAACGGTGCCTTTTTTACATCTGTCCATGGATGAGATTTAAAAATGATGGATACACAAAATTAACAATTACATGTAATGAACGTTTCCCATTGATATGTAGTTGGTTTTCTTCTTGTCTTTTTTCATCATTTGTTTTGTCTTTTTATTATAACAATAACTGAATATAACGGTTTGTCTTTAATTTCCTTTGGTGATATTACCATATATTTCTATACCCTCTTAACTTTTTTTTTTTTTTTTTTTTTTTTTTTCTTCTTTTGTATGTTAACTCTGTATATCTGTTGTAAGCTACGGTCATACCAATCATATTTTCACAGACAACCTTGTGAAATAAGAAAAACATTTAAAAACTGACTTGCGCTAACGTAGGTGTCTAAAATCTAACCTGATGTCCAGCGTACTCCAACCCACCACCACGCTCCACAGTCCTCCTACCCCTCTCCCCCCAGTCCCCAACCCCAGCCCCAACCCAGGCCTCACCTCACTAACCCCAAACCTGTGTTCTACCGTCCTACTGACAGCCAGGCTGTGTGGTAAAGCTCTTGTTCCTGGTACTCCTCTCTCCTCCTACAACACGCTAGCAAGGAGCCGTATCCCCCGGCCCAGCATGAGTCAGGGCTGCAGCAGGGACACATCTAGGGAAAGCAGCCGAGACACCAGCCCTGCTCGGGGCTTCAAGCCTCTTGGTGAGTACCACGACCAACCGGACACCAGGAGGCCTCTTGGAAGCAGCAAGGCCCACTAGTACACACCCCTCAGTCTCTTAGTCCCCCTCCTCTAGACCCCTACTCTCTGTCCCAGCCTCTCTCTACACCCCAGGACATCTAGATAGAAGATCCCCCTCTAGAACGAATGGGTATAGACCTCTTCTTTTGCCTGTTCTGATCTAGTCTGCATGCACTAACCCTCTCAAAGGTTCAGGAATATAATCACTGCACTGTCTTCTGTCTGTCTTGTTGGGAATGCTCCAAATGTTATCCTATATCAGTATGTTTCTGTGTCTTTGTATGTGTAATAAATTACCACCAAAATGTAAAGATCACAAAAATCTCTGGATGTTCAAGATTCTGTTTGAACTTTTTGCTCCAATGACTTATGTACGATAACTTATTCGGCACATCTCATAATAAATCCACATCAAGAGGCAGAGAAAAAAGGCAGTGACTACAGTAAACATTGTACTGTATGCATCATCGTATTCAATGTCCATAGCTGACCTGCTTCTCCGCTCTTTCCTGTGCTGCTGTCATATCACAGGAAATGACACAACTTTGTCACTGCTTTGTCATGGGGGACAGAGGGGGAAAAAAGCAACAAAATAGTGGGACAAAGTGTGAAACCCCCCCCTACCCTATGATTGTTGTAGATGTGGGCAGCAGGTAGCCTAGCAGTTAGAGCGTTGGGCCAGTAACTGAAAGGTTGCTAGTTTGAATCCCCGAGCTGACTAGATTAAATCTGCCCTTGAGCAAGGCACTTAACCATAATTGCTCCAGGGTAGCCGTCAATAATGGCTGATCCCTGGCCATGACCCCACTCTCCGAAGGTGTCTCAGTGGGAGTGGGATATGCAAAAAACACACTTGCATTTTACAACACACACACGTACATGTGTGAAACAGGACAAATATAAGCACCCCCTGTTTGGCTGGTTGGTCATAGCCATAGTAGATGAATGCAGCGAGGCGCTGAGCCTTAGTCGTCTACAGAGGACGGTATCTGTCGTGTATGTGTCACTAACGCCCCGGGTGTCACCCACCTGTCCTGTCCCTTGCAGCCTCCCGACGTACCTCCCGCTCTACCAGCGCCTTATCCACAGCTGACCCCCACAGCCAGTCAGGTGACCTGCATGCCCCACCCCTTTCCCCGTCCCCCATATTAGCGACAATGCCAGCATGTGTCCATACGTTGTACTGTGAGGGCTGTGCCCACCCTGCTGTGCCCACCCTGAGGCAACATTTATTCAAACTTTTGAAGCTTGTAATGGTCTTTACTTTTCATTGAGGAGAAGATTTGTCATATTATGTGTTGTGATCATCTGCTTCAATATGATGTTTTGTGATTTTATTTTACAAAGCTTGTGTTGTCTCATACTGCATAATCATGATATCCCCATCCATATGATTTTCTCCTTGTTAGTGACTTTTTGGATGTTGTATAATGCATTTGTACTATTGTGTATTAAGTATCTCATATCAGATTTGTTTTATTTTCCCGTCTGCAAGTGTCAGCTTATTTTTTCTTCATTTTTCATGAGGTGTTTCAAACAAGCACCAGTCATTCTGTGGTGATTTCTGTTGGTGGTTGGCACCTCTTCATCTTTATTTCAGCATTCTTTTTTTTTCATTTATCAGTCAAGCTTTTTGGCGTTTTCGTTTTCAAGCTTTTTGGTGTTTCAGTTTCAAGCTTTTTGGTGTTTTCATGCCAAACTCTTTAATTTCTTTACCCCGCAAACCCCATCATGTCTTACATGGGATTTGATTACCATATTCTGAGGTAAGTCCCTGTCATCCATTCCAATGGCTTTCTCCTCTGTTTCCTCTCTCACCCCTCTACCCTCTCTTTCCCCCCAGACCGATTTGGTTTGATCCACCAGGCCCGCATTTCTGCCTCGGTGAACGCCATGAGAGTCCTCAACACTGGCACTGAGGTGGAGGCTGCTGTGGCTGATGCACTGGTAAGTCACCAATCAACTCTTGCCAGTTCTGAAGACATCACTACCGTTTGTCTCAAGGTAGAGTGACAGTTAGTCAGCCCCTCATTTACAGAATGTTAGTTAATGGCCGAGGGATTGATGTGGAAGCTGTATGCAGTGTTTGGATATTTGCTGTCGGCCTTATTCAATCTAATGATTCCCAGGGGTTTTTGCCTGTTTAGCATTTGACAGAAAATAACTTCATTAAGAAGTCAAATGTAATGACATGACATTATCAAGAGTGCTCGCGTTTGTTTGTGTATGACTATCAGAATATATATGGGGGATAAACTTAGACAGCAAGTAATTCAACATTGCTAATGTGTAGAGAAATTCATTTAAAAATGTATTGTCTTACTCCCAAGCAGGACAGCACTCATGTTTTCCCTTGACAGTTTACACCCCATTTAAAATATACCTATTTTCTTCTTCCTCCTTGGTTGTCTGTATCTTCAGCTATTAGGAGACTCCAGAAATAAGGTAATTGTCCAATTTGTGTACAGTTTGTTGATTAGTGAATAGAATGAATATAATTTACAAAGATCATACAGGCCACATTTTATCACTAAATGTTACCGTTAGGCCAAAAGCTTAACCTGCAGATTTGATTTATTATTCAATTAAATATCCCATATTATGATTAACAGTATGCATTCTTATAACATAATTTAATAATCTCATTGCATGTCCATATCAATCATGATAAATCAAGAGTTGGAACAAATTGCATCGCTATACCTCATTCATTGCGAATGGCAACCTAATAGAAATTGTGCATCGTAGCTCATCAAATCCTACATCATGGCTGAGTTTGAGTGACCAAGCTTTTCCTACAGAGTTTTAGTCTGTCTGTCCCACTTCGCTCCTGGTCCTATGACCTATGAACTCACCATTAACCCATCCCTCCCCATTCCCTTCCCAACAGCGGAAGCCTATGAGGCGGCGCTATGAGTCTCCTGGTATCTATTCTGATGATGATGCTAACAGCGATGCGTCCAGCGCCTGCTCGGAACGCTCGTACGGCTCCCGGAACGGAGGTATGTGGTCCTGTGTTACTCAGTTGGTAAGAACATCGCACTAGCAACACAAAGGTAGTAGGTTCAATTCCCACTAGATTTACATATATACTAAAATGTACGCACTCACTTTGGATAAATGCGTCTGCTAAATGGTATATATTATTATCATGATCTAGGTATCCCTCACTACCTACGTCAGACAGAGGATGTGGCGGAGGTACTCAACCACTGTGCCAGCTCCAACTGGTCTGAGAGGAAGGAGGGACTGCTGGGACTGCAGAACCTGCTCAAGAGTCAAAGAATACTCAGGTCAGCCCAGGGCAGGGGGGGTGGACCTTTTACAAAGGAATCTATAAGGATAAAGTAAAGGTTTGTGTTTAGAAGGTAGAGTTTGGAGAAGGTAGAGTTTGTGTTTAGACTGTTGTGCCAGCTGTGTTCTTTCATATTTCATGGTCATTTCCTTTTTGAAAACTTCCACCAACTTTTAAAGAGGCCAGCATATCAAGAGTCCTGCAGGGTGTTTCTTTTTATAGCTTTACTTAATTGAGGGAGAAATGACTTTGTGAGCAGCCTGCAGGTATAAATCCGCCCGTCAGATGGTGCAGTTAAAAATGAATTTCAGACAAAGCAGTTTGTCTGCTATCTGTGAGTTTCCCTGTCAGGCCTCCAGCGGTTTACGTCAAGCCTCGCTGTCTGTTATGTGTGTCTATGTTTATTAATGTGTTCCGGCGGATGCTGTTGTGTGTTGCAGCCGAGTGGAGCTGAAGAGACTATGTGAAATCTTCACCAGGATGTTCGCAGATCCACACAGCAAGGTAGGTGACAGGATGTTCAGCTGTGTTGTTTGAACGTTTCATATCAATACAATTATACACTCATAACTTTTACTTTTGAAATTCAAAAACCAATTGCTTAGCAGTGATTTGTCTGAAAACTAATTGAGTGTGTTTTGTTGCATGGCCTGCTTTGGTGTGGATGTTAACAACAGCGAGTAAGTGTGTGTTTTTATTCTCTCAAATATCTACTATGCTATATACTATTATATTGCCTGTGTTATTACTTATAAAGATGCTATGTTTTCAGGTGTTGATGGTAGCTCTGTGTGTGTGTGTGTGTGTGTTCCTCAGGTGTTCAGTATGTTTCTAGAGACTCTGGTAGACTTTATCCTGGTGCACAGAGAGGACCTGCAGGACTGGCTGTTCGTCCTGCTCACCCAGCTACTGAAGAAGATGGGAGCTGACCTGCTGGGATCCGTACAGGCCAAGGTCCAGAAGGCTCTGGACATCACCAGGTATGGACTTCTAAATCCCCCCTCCGATAACATCTCTAACCATTTTCACACTATCATGCCGACCCAAACCAAACTGTGTTGACTTGGATATTTTATTTTTTATACAGTCCTTTTCAGCACTGTTCCAGCAACTTTGGTGGATTAGTAACTAGGCCAGCTCATTACAGCTGTTTTTGGCTCAGTCACGTGAAAATACCATTTTGAGTGTAATTTCGCTCATTCAATTTAGTAACTAATATTGTTTTCTATTTTGTTCTCCTCAGGGAGTCTTTTCCGTTTGATCAGCAGTTTAACATCCTGATGAGGTTCATTGTGGACCAGACACAGACACCCAACCTCAAGGTACAGTATGCAGAGAATGTCACATAACTAGATTATTCTCTGTTTGTTTTGGGGGTTGGCTCTGGGTCTAAGAATTTATGATTTCAAATACCAGTAATCTACAGTACAATGGTGATATTGTCAAACATTTTAAAAGTAAACTTGCTGAATGCTAAATGCCTGTGTGTATCGTGAAGCTAAACCATGTGTGTATCGTGAAGCTAAACCATGTGTGTATCGTGAAGCTAAACCATGTGTGTATCGTGAAGCTAAACCATGTATGTATCGTGAAGCTAAACCATGTGTGTATTGTGAAGCTAAACCATGTGTGTATCACACAGGTGAAGGTGGCCATCCTGAAGTACATAGAGTCACTGGGAAGACAGATGGATCCTACAGACTTTGTCAACTCCAGTGAAACTCGACTGGCTGTATCTCGCATCATTACGTGGACCACAGAACCCAAGAGCTCTGACGTCAGGAAGGTATGTCTCAGTGGGAAGTAGGAACTACTACTTACTGTAGGTATCTGCTGCAATAGGTCCTGTAGTCCCTATGGTCTGCTCAATAAGGACTAGCTGAACCACATGCTGTCTAGGCAGATTGCTATGCTAATACTTTATTGTTAATAGTACAGCAGCTGGATTAGCCTACTTCCTCAATCAAATTCAGTTTGAACTGTTTTTAGGATATATTCACTTGGATTAAGTCTGTTATCATTTGCTGTTAAATCTTAGCAAACTCAGAAACCATCCTTTAGAGGAAATGCATTCAATAGTTTTTCAATGTTATCCATATTACGATCTAATTATGTACTGTAGCTATCTATCCACTGGGTTTTACCTCCTTTGAATTACTACAGATTTTCTGTTTGTATTTGTTGATGTTCTAAACGGTTGTCAACGATGCCATGTGCCACCAGGAATGACCTTGGGTTAACAGACTCTATCTCCCTGTGCTGTGGCTGGACGTGTATACTGTTGGGCTGTTTGTTTTTCCCACTACTAGTTCCAAATTAAGTCCTCAACTAGCTAGTTTTTTAACCCAGTAGGGTACTAAAAACGGTAGACAAAAAATTATCTTTGATGGGAGGGGGAAATAAATACTTTTTTCATGCTTTTTATTGTTTTATAATAGAAACAAACGTTATATACCTCAACTGCATCCCACAGGAGGACCCGGCTTACAGCTATAACCATGTCTAGGTTTATAGTAGTGTACTACTATAAACATCTGCTTTCCTTTGTCAAAACTACAATACCCATAATTCTACCCCCCTGCCACTGTGCCCCAGACCCTTCATAACTGGGTGGTGGAGGAGCTATCAGGCAGGTCCGGTACTGCAGCCTTACTGTCCCAGCAGGCCGGGGAGGGGCACCTGGAAGAGAGGTGTAAGCAGGTAGTGCCTCATCAACCAATCACTGTCCAACACCAAGCACGCACCGCCCGCCGAGCCACACCGACACCTAACTGCCTCAACGAGTGGGAAACGATCTCAAGTGTGGCCTTGCCTCTCCACCTCACCTTTACGCTCTCTAGCCCTTTCTATCGCTCGCTCTAACCTACAGTAGCTATTCCTTGCGACTTTGATTGCAGATAAATGGACTGGTTTGAGAGTGAAAATACTTTTGTTGGCCAACAAAACACTACTACAACACAACACAGTATTTATGTAAGGATTATGAGAATGGATTGTTGCTTTGTTTTTTCAAAGTGAGAGTTCTACCGACCGATGTCATTGCTAAATAACAATGTGAAAACTTGAATGCTGTTTTTCCCTCTTCTGTTCTGTGTGCCTAACACATCTTGTCTGTTTTGAACCACATTAACACCCTCTCCATATGCATGCTAACATGGTAGTTTGTAGTAGAATGAATGACTTGATTTAACATTGTGTTTATTAAGGGAATGTCTCAGTCCTTGTTAGATGCAATATCTTACCTGCCAGAAGTTAGATTTTCAGAATGTAATATTTTGTTTTAAAAGCATGATGTCTCTTACCACAAACATATAATGGACTATATTAAAGCTATAGTTGCAAAAACTTGTTTGATAATGTGATCAACGGTTTTTCTGTACTGTTTTAGTCAGTATATAACACTACTCACTGTGTACATCCAAGTCTCTCCACTGGTAGGGGTACCTGACAAACTGACATAGCTCCTAGTGGAGCAAAGGGCTTCACTGTAGGAGTACATAAATACATAACCCACTATTGACTATTATGTCTGTACCCTATGTCCCAGAGGCATCCCACCTAACACACGGTTTACTGTACCTGTCCCCTCTGTCCTCCAGGCATCCCACCTAACACACTGTTTACTGTACGTCTGTCCTCTGTCCCCCAGGCGGCCCATAACCCACTATTGACTACTGTATGACCCTCTGTCCTCTGCCCCCCAGGCGACCCATAACCCACTATTGACTACTGTATGTACCTCTGTCCTCTGTCCCCCAGGCGGCCCATAACCCACTATTGACGACTGTATGTCCCTCTGTTCTCTGCCCCCCAGGCGACCCATAATCCACTATTGACTACTGTATGTACCTCTGTCCTCTGCCCCCCAGGCGACCCATAACCCACTATTGACTACTGTATGTCCCTCTGTCCTCTGTCCCCCAGGCGACCCACAACCCACTATTGACTACTGTATGTCCCTCTGTCCTCTGCCCCCCAGGCTACCCATAACCCACTATTGACTACTGTATGTCCCTCTGTCCTCTTCGGCCCATAACCCACTATTGACTACTGTATGTCCCTCTGTCCTCTGCCCCCCAGGCGGCCCATAACCCACTATTGACTACTGTATGTCCATCTGTCCTCCAGGCGACCCATAACCCACTATTGACTACTGTATGTCCCTTTGTCCTCTGCCCCCCAGGCTACCCATAACCCACTATTGACTACTGTATGTCCCTCTGTCCCCCAGGCGGCCCAGGTGGTGCTGATATCTCTGTTTGAGCTGAACACCCCAGAGTTCACCATGCTGCTGGGAGCCCTGCCCAAGACCTTCCAGGACGGGGCCACCAAGCTGCTCCACAACCACCTCAAGAACTCCAGCAACACCAGCAGCGTGGTAAATGAATACAACCAGGGATAAGATCTGTTTTACACTAGCAGCCATGTCTATTTTGGTGGGGTGATTTGAAAGATTTAGCTTTTTAACCTACAGTGCCTTGCAAAAGTATTCATCCCCCTTGGCGTTTTTCCTATTTTGTTGCATTACAACCTGTAATTTAAATTGATTTTTATTTGGATTTCATGTAATGGAAAAGTGGTGCGTGCATATATATTCACCCCCTTTGCTATGAAGCCCCTAAATAAGATCTGGTGCAACCAATTATCTTCAGAAGTCACATAATTAGTTAAATAAAGTCCACCTGTGTGCAATCTAAGTGTCACATGATCTCAGTATATATTCACCTGTTCTGAAAGGCCCCAGAGTCTGCAACACCACTAAGCAAGGGGCACCATGAAGACCAAGGAGCTCTCCAAACAGGTTAGGGACAAAGTTGTGGAGTACAGATCAGGGTTGGGTTATAAAAAAATATCCGAAACTTTGAACATCCCACGGAGCATCATTAAATCCATTATTAAAAAATGGAAAGAATATGGCACCACAATAAACCTGCCAAGAGAGGGCCGCCCACCAACATTCACGGACCAGGCAAGGAGGGCATTAATCAGAGCGGCAACAAAGAGACCAAAGGTAACCCTGAAGGAGCTGCAAAGCTCCACAGCGGAGATTGGAGTATCTGTCCATAGGACCACTTTAAGCCGTACACGCCACAGAGCTGGGCTTTACGGAAGAGTGGCCAGAAAAAAGCAAACACGTTTGGTGTTTGCCAAAAGGCATGTGGGAGACTCCCCAAACATATGAAAGAAGGTACTCTGGTCAGATGAGACTAAAATTAAGCTTTTTGGCCATCAAGGAAAACGCTATGTCTGGCGCAAACCCAACACCTCTCATCACCCCGAGAACAGTGAAGCATGGTGGTGGCAGCATCATGCTGTGGGGATATTTTTCATCGGCAGGGACTGGGAAACTGGTCAGAATTTAAGGAATGATGGATGGCGCTAAATACAGGGAAATCCTTGTGGGAAACCTGTTTCAGTCTTCCAGAGATTTGAGACTGGGACGGAGGTTCACCTTCCAGCAGGACAATGACCCTAAACATACTGCTAAAGCAACACTCGAGTGGTTTAAGGGGAAACATTTAAATGTCTTGGAATGGCCTAGTCAAAGCCCAGACCTCAATCCAATTGAGAATCTGTGGTATGACTTAAAGATTGTTGTACACCTGCGGAACCCATCCAACTTGAAGGAGCTGGAGCAGTTTTGCCTTGAAGAATGGGCAAAAATCCCAGTGGCTAGATGTGCCAAGCTTATAGAGACATACCCCAAGAGACTTGCAGCTGTAATTGCTGCAAAAGGTGGCTCTACAAAGTATTGACTTTGGGGGGGTGAATAGTTATGCACATTCAAGTTTTCAGTTTTTTTGTCTTATTTCTTGTTTGTTTCACAAGAAAAAATATTTTGCATCTTCAAAATGGTAGGCATTTTGTGTAAATCAAATGATACAAACCCCCCAAAAATCTATTTGAATTCCAGGTTGTAAGGCAACAAAATAGGAAAAATGCCAAGGGGGGTGAATACTTTCGCAAGCCACTGTATTTCTGGGGTAGACTAGTTAATTCACTTGTATCTGATCCAATGGTTTCATTCCATTTGGTCATGATCTTCGATATTAAGTTTTGTCATTCCTCAACTTGTTTTTCTGTTTCTCAGAGTTCTCCCAGCAACACTATTGGGCGGACCCCACCCCGCCACACCCCCAGCCGGACCAGCCCCCTCACCTCCCCGACCAACTGCTCCCATGGTGGGCTGTCTCCCAGGTACGTACCTCCCTTCTGTCAGACCTTTATCTACAGTGATTGTGTCATTGTGTCTCCTAATGCATGGCTAAACCACAGAGCGCTGGTTGAAGTTTTGTTCTTCTTTACCGTGCATTCGAATACTCTTCTCTTATTAATGCATGCCGACCTCTAACCTAACCTCAACTCAGATCAGACTGTAGTTTCTTTTTCTCTTTTCTCCTCCCTCTGCTGCACTCTTCTCTTTTTCTTTCTCTCTTTTTCCTTCTTTCTCTCTCTCTTCTCTGTGTGTGTGATCCCTTGTGTTGTTGCCCCTGCCCCGTTCTCTCCCTCCTCCTTCTGTCCGTCCTTCCCTCGTGGCCGTGCTGTGCTGTGACCACAGTCGGTTGTGGGGTGGGTGTTGGAGTGGCGATGGGCTGTCTAAGCACCCCCCTCCCCCTCATCCTCCTCCGCCTCCCTCCACCCCCTCCGGCCCCGCCCTCAGGGTCCTCCGCAGAGCGTACTCTCCCAGGTAACACTCCTAGGGACGGGGCCTCAGGGTCCCAGGAGGGGCGGGACAGGAAGTCCTCCCAATTTCCCTCGACCAATAGGGATTCCTTGCTTCAAGTCACAGGACGCGTTATGGCATCCAGTCTTCTCTGGATAGTTATCTCTCCCTTCTTAGTTATAGCATCATGCCAATCATCAATTGTCAGAGCTGCATCCAAAATACATATTTTACCTACAGCAATGAATATGAGCCCTGGCATGGTGTAAGACTAATACAACTAGTCTCTTCGTGTGAGTATTTGTCTCTGTTTGTTTTTGTCCTGACCACCCTGTATATAACCCATCTCCCCTGTCGTCCTGTGTCTCCTCAGTATGTTGGAGTATGACACAGAGAACATGAACTCTGATGAGATCTACAACTCCCTGCGAGGAGTCACAGAGGCCATCCAGAGTTTCAGCTATCGCAGCCAGGAGGACCTCAACGAACCAAGAGGGAAGAGGGACGATGCTGTGAGTCATTACCTCAGCTCTGGAAATGAAACTGACTGACTGATTAATTGACTGATGTTGGGGAAGGAAACGGACGTCAGCGAGAAGCACAATACAAAATGGCTAATTGTTAAATCAAGAGCAGGATTTAGGCTAATGTGTTCCTTCCTGTTTCTTCCTCGCTGGTTATCACAGCCATTTTCACATGCAGAGTAACAATCAATCATTCACGTTAATCTATAAAGCTCTTTTTACATCAACAGTTGTCACATCCTTAAGACATCAAAACTGACTACCGCTATGTTTCTTTTCTATCTCTCTCTTCAGGTGGGGCGTGAAGTTGTGGCGTCCTCCCCAGGCTCTGATGCCCGTTTGGGGCTGGATGTGGTGGAGGGTGGGCGTACAGCCCTGGATAACAAGACCTCCCTCCTCAACACCCCGTCTCCCCGCTCCTTCTCCGGGCCGCGGGCCAGGGAGTTCGCCCCCTACGGGTATGGGGACACCATCACCTCATCCTACGACAAGAGTGCCCTAAAGGAGGCCGTGTTCGACGATGACGTGGAACAGTTCAGAGACTGTGAGTCACCTTTGACCTCTGCTTGACCCTTAACCCTGTGACGCCACCTCCATGTTGACCACCTCTGATCCATCCTGTAATGTCATGACATGATGGTGTGACATCTTCAGGTTTTGGCAACACAAAGAAATAATAGATTTGGCCCATTCTAGTGTTACATGGTGGCTGAAACGAGATTGATAGAATGAATGTTAAGACCAAAAACATTGGGAATAGAATAGCCCTTTATCTGCAGTGAATAGTGAGTCTGCTGGCTATAGTCAGTCCTCCTCCCTCCTGATTGTCCTCCTTCCTCCTCTCCCCCTCCCTCCCTCCTCTACAGGCCGTCGGCAGGACGGCAGTGGTGAAAACAAGATGGTGCTGCCTAAGGGCTTTGCTCCTGGTAAAGACGCACTACTCCATGACTGTTGTTTTTTCCTTTCGAAAGTTTTTCATTGCTGTTTCCATTGCCATCCATTTCAATGTCTTGAGTGATTCCCTGTCACTTTTCCTTTTGCTTTCGTGGGGATACTAGCTCGCTAAGTATGGCTGAGGCGGTATATGGGCCGTACCACTCACCCAGTCTGCTGTCCTTTCCTCAGGTTCCCAGGACCACTCAGACCTTGTGGCAGACCTTCTAAAGGAGCTGTCAAATCACAACGAGCGTGTGGATGAGCGTAAGGGGGCCTTGGTGGAGCTGCTGAAGATCACACGAGAGGACAGCCTGGCCGTGTGGGACGAACACTTCAAGACCATCCTCCTACTGCTCCTGGAGACACTGGGGGATAAAGACGTAGGGATCCTATACTCCTATAGCTCTGATTATGCAGATCGCTGCTATTTCGAAGGTTTTACTTGCAATGATTGTGATTGTGGCAAACACATGCGTACAGAATAACTAGACAGCAGCTGTACTACCAAATAGATTATTTATTAAACTGCTAACTTGAAAGCCTCTCTAAGGCTTAAAGGTTTTGGTTTGGGTGTAGATGTGGGTGGGTGGTGGGCATGCATGCATGGTTGCAAGAAGGCTGTACAGTATGCGTATGTTTGGAGGTTTAATGGACACTCATTCTTCGTCTTCCCTCCATGTAGCACACCATCCGGGCCCTGGCTCTGCGGGTTCTGAAGGAGATACTGAGAAACCAACCGGCCCGCTTCAAAAACTATGCTGAACTCACCATCATGAAGACCCTGGAGGCACACAAAGACTCACACAAGGAGGTACAACTCCTGATATTCCTTACATTTATATTGCTCTATGGTCTTTTACGCAATAGGCATCTGAAAAAACAATGATGTCCCCCAAGCCTCAGTACTAGGACCTCTCCTGTTCTGTCCTGTTCTCTCTGTACACACCATATACAAAGGCATCATGAGTGATCTCTTCCCTTTCTGTCCAGGTGGTGCGGGCAGCGGAGGAGGCAGCCTCCACCCTAGCCGGCTCCATCCACCCAGAGCAGTGTATCAAGGTGCTGTGTCCCATCGTCCAGACGGCTGACTACCCCATCAACCTGGCTGCCATCAAGATGCAGACCAAGGTGATAGAACGCATCACCAAGGAGTCCCTCCACCAGCTGCTTCCTGATATCATACCAGGACTACTGCAGGTGAGAATCTGGTCCTGTTTGGCATTATGTGAGTGTTTGGTAACACAGTGCAGTCAAAACATGATTTTCCTGTGTTTTATATATATTGCCACACTATGAGGTTGGAATAATACTGTCAAATTGTGAAAATTATGATAATGTCCTTTTAGTGTAAGAGCTGTTTGAAAATACTGCCTGAAATGTCAGCCTGTTTTGGTGGGATAGAATGTTTGCCTGCATGGTGACCTCACCAGGTGGTAAATGAGTTAATAGACAAATAAGAAAGAGAGTTCCAAACCTCTCTGCCAATAACAGCTAGTTTTCCCCTCCCCACCCAGACCACTTCCTGACAGTCCTAGCAAAATTCTTGCTTGAGAAATTGCTCTTTGCTAAGAAGCTATTTTTGTATATTTTTTACCATTTTAATAGAAAACAATCACAGTAAGGTTCTTAATTGTTACCCAGAAATGATTTGATATTGAGATAAAAACGGCTGCATTGGACCTTTAACACCAAGGTTGTGGGTTCAATTTCAGCATGGATCAATAAAAGTGTCTACTAAGTGGCATATACACTGCTCAAAAAAATTAAGGGAACACTAAAATAACACATCCTAGATCTGAATGAATGAAATAATCTTATTAAATACTTTTTTCTTTACATAGTTGAATGTGCTGACAACAAAATCACACAAAAATTATCAATGGAAATCAAATTTATCAACCCATGGAGGTCTGGATTTGGAGTCACCCTCAAAATTAAAGTGGAAAACCACACTACAGGCTGATCCAACTTTGATGTAATGTCCTTAAAACAAGTCAAATTGAGGCTCAGTAGTGTGTGTGGCCTCCACGTGCCTGTATGACCTCCCTACAATGCCTGGGCATGCTCCTGATGAGGTGGCGGATGGTCTCCTGAGGGATCTCCTCCCAGACCTGGACTAAAGCATCCGCCAACTCCTGGACAGTCTGTGGTGCAACGTGGCGTTGGTGGATGGAGCGAGACATGATGTCCCAGATGTGCTCAATTGGATTCAGGTCTGGGGAACGGGCGGGCCAGTCCATAGCATCAATGCCTTCCTCTTGCAGGAACTGCTGACACACTCCAGCCACATGAGGTCTAGCATTGTCTTGCATTAGGAGGAACCCAGGGCCAACCGCACCAGCATATGGTCTCACAAGGGGTCTGAGGATCTCATCTCGGTACCTAATGGCAGTCAGGCTACCTCTGGCGAGCACATGGAGGGCTGTGTGGCCCCCCAAAGAAATGCCACCCCACACCATGACTGACCCACCGCCAAACCGGTCATGCTGGAGGATGTTGCAGGCAGCAGAACGTTCTCCACGGCGTCTCCAGACTCTGTCACGTCTCTCACATGTGCTCAGTGTGAACCTGCTTTCATCTGTGAAGAGCACAGGGCGCCAGTGGCGAATTTGCCAATCTTGGTGTTCTCTGGCAAATGCCAAACGTCCTGCACGGTGTTGGGCTGTAAGCACAACCCCCACCTGTGGACGTCGGGCCCTCATACCACCCTCATGGAGTCTGTTTCTGACTGTTTGAGCAGACACATGCACATTTGTGGCCTGCTGGAGGTCATTTTGCAGGGCTCTGGCAGTGCTCCTCCTGCTCCTCCTTGCACAAAGGTGGAGGTAGCAGTCCTGCTACTGGGTTGTTGCCCTCCTACGGCCTCCTCCACGTCTCCTGATGTACTGGCCTGTCTCCTGGTAGCGCCTCCATGCTCTGGACACTACGCTGACAGACACAGCAAACCTTCTTGCCACAGCTCGCATTGATGTGCCATCCTGGATGAGCTGCACTACCTGAGCCACTTGTGTGGGTTGTAGACTCTGTCTCATGCTACCACTAGAGTGAAAGCACCGCCAGCATTCAAAAGTGACCAAAACATCAGCCAGGAAGCATAGGAACTGAGAAGTGGTCTGTGGTCACCACCTGCAAAACCAGTCCTTTATTGGGGGTGTCTTGCTAATTGCCTATAATTTCCACCTGTTGTCTATTCCATTTGCACAACAGCATGTGAAATGTATTGTCAATCAGTGTTGCTTCCTAAGTGGACAGTTTGATTTCACAGAAGTGTGATTGACTTGGAGTTACATTGTGTTGTTTAAGTGTTCCCTTTATTTTTTTGAGCAGTGTATTATGTTATTATATAGAATGCGGGTGGAGGGGGCATTGCGGGGGGAAAGTAGAAACATCCTTACAGTATCTGCACATATATCTGTTCATGTTGATATTTGGACTGTGGGAACAGTTATTTGTACCTGGAAATGTTTCTATGTAGGTGTGGAGTTGTGTATGGAGTGGTGGACAGACGGCAAAAGCCTCAATCATATTATGACTGCATAGCAAAATAAGTGTTTCTCTGTTTTCTTAGATCTAAATTTGTTTTAGTTCTGCAGATGACTTTGTTTAGAACTGTGAATGCAGGATTAGGGAATTTAAAGAAAATAAAGTTGAAAAATCCTTGGTAGTTTCTAGGCCTACACCATATTTGTTCATGTTCATATTTGGACAGTGGGAACAGTTTGCTTTATTTATACCTGGAAATGTTTGCCTGTACTCGGCCCCTGAGCACACACCTCTGCCACTCCTCCCACGTTCCCAATGACCTGTGGGCCACTCAGTGTGTATACGTGTGTGTGTTCACTCTTGTTTCTCCGTCTGTGTCTCCTGCTGGCAGCCTGTCCATTAATACTGATCATCGGTCTATCTATCTGTTCCCAGGGCTATGACAACACGGAGAGTAGTGTTCGCAAGGCTAGTGTGTTCTGTCTGGTGGCCATCTACTCCGTGATTGGAGAAGAGCTAAAACCACACCTGCAGCTACTCACGGGCAGCAAGGTACACTATCCACCATTGTCATGTGCTCGATCGCCATCTCAAAGTCCTGACAGACAGACCGACAGACAGACAGACACTACACCACACACTACACACACACACCAGTGTTAGTTTTGGCAGCTATTTTAGATTTAGCTTTAGTCTTAGTCACATTTAGGTCATTTCATCATTCTTAGTTTTAGTTATTATCAGTCGAGTAAAACTCTGGATAATTTTTGTCTATTTTCAGTCAATCATTTTTGTCATGATTTAGTCAATGCATTTTCCATAAGGTTTTGCATTTAGGCCAAGAAGTTTATTCCTTTGCTGTTTTTTTTTGCAGTATTACTTTAGTGCCTTTTTGCATACACAGGATAGGATGCATGTTTTGGAATATTTTTATTCTGTATATTTTTATTCTACTTTTCACTCTGTCATTTAGGTCCTTATTGTGGAGTAACTACAATGCTGTTGATCCATCCTTAGTTTTCTCCCTTCACAACTATTGAACTCTGTAGCTGTTTTAAAATCACCAATGGCTTTATGGTGACATCCCTGAGCAGTTTCCTTCTGTCCTGCAGCTCAGTTCAGAAGGACAACTGAGTGTACAAAACATTAGGAACACCTGCTCTTTCCATGACATAGACTGACCAGGTGAATCCAGGTGAAAGCTATGAACCCTTATAGATGTCACCTGTTAAATCCACTCCAAGGATTTGTTAAGCCTTGAGACAATTGAGACATGGATTGTGTATGTGTGCCATTCAGAGGGTGAATGGGCAAGACAAAAGATTTAAGTGCCTTTGAACGGGGTATGGTAGTAGGTGCCAGGCACACTGGTTTGAGTTTGTCAAGAACTGCAACGCTTCTGGCATTTTCAAGCTCAACAGTTTCCCGTCTGTATCAAGAATGGTCCACCACCCAAAGGACATCCAGCCAACTTGACACAACTGCGGGAAGCATTGGGGTCAACATGGGCCAGCATCCCTGTGGAATGCTTTCGACACCTTCTAGTCCGTGCCCCGACGAATTGAGGCTGTTCTGAGGGCAAAAGGGGGTGCAACTCAATATTAGGAAAGTGTTCCTAATGTTTTGTACACTCCGTGTATATTTGTTGTGTCTGGGTGGTTTAATACATCATCCACAGCATAATTATTTACTTGACCATGAGATATTCAATTTCTGATTTGTTATTGTTACCCATCTACCAATCACTGCCCTTCTTTATGAAGCTTTCGAAAAGCTCCCTGGTCCTTGTAGTTGAATCTGTGCTTGAAATTCAATACTTGACTGAGGGACCTTACAGATGTTGTATTTCATGTCAACCGCTATTTTCTGAGTCCATGTAATTTAGTAAGTGATTTGTTAAGCCAAATGTTACTCCTGAACTAATTTAGGCTTGCCTAAACAAAAGGGGTGAATAATTTTGAGACAACTATATTTTAGTTATTTAATTTGTATTAATTTGTTAACATTTGTAGAATAATCTTTTCACTTTGACATTATGGAATATTTTGTGTAGATCAATGGGAAAAAAGATTGACTAAATCCATAGCAATCCCGCTTTGTCACGCAACAAAATGTGAAAAAATCCAAAGGGGTTGAATACTTACAATACCCACTGTAGCTCCAATCTGATTGGTCTAGATCAGGGGTGGGGTCAATTCCAGAGAAAGCAAACTGAAAATCCTGGTATTGGAATTTGACTGATTTGAAATGGAATTGACCCCAACCCTGGTCTAGACAACAGTGCCATTATTACCTCTCTTACCACTTCTCCTTGCTCCACCATGATAATAACAATGTTTTAACATACAATATAATATAATGTTCTTCTTGCAGATGAAGCTGCTGAACTTGTACATCAAGAGGGCCCAGACGACCAACAGCAACAGCAGCAGTTCCTCGGATGTGTCCTCACACAGCTAACTGTAGGAGGGATCGGCCTGTCTGTACTTTGCATCTGAATTAGGGGATATAGGTTGTGTCCCAAATGGCACCCTATTCCCTGTATAGGCCACTACGTTTGGGCCCTGGTCAAAAGTAGTGTACTATATTGGGAATAGGGTGCCATTTGGGACAGAGACATAGTTGTGCCTCTTCCAGACCTCTCCATTCCTGAGATTCTCTTCTCTCCTTCACCACGCTGGACTCCTCTTTTGCTCCCAGCTTTTTCTTTATTTTCTCTCCAGTGAATTTGTCCTTTCATTTGTCATCAGATTTCTTTCTCCCCGTTTTGTAGATTTTTTGTTATTTTAAAAGAGGTCTGGGTATAGGGTGGTTTAACGCTTTTTGACTTCTCTATAAGACTGAATGGGAGTCAAGCTACTGTACATATGCGTCAACCCTCTATTTTGCTGTCATTTTTTATAATCTAACTTTGGATGCTTATTTGGTTGAGCATTCAAAAAGTAACTGGAGGAGATAGGCGAAACCAGGAGTTATGATATGGTCCAATAACAATGATATGGTCCAATAGCAAATAACACCCTGAAATTGATTCAGAAGAAGAAGAAAAACACATCCCTTCAAAATGCAGTTGTACTGTAGTTGAACGAATGAATTCCTTCACATTTAACAAGGAAGGCCCATTGAGGTCAGAATACCTCTTTCCCATGGGGACCACATGGCATTCAGTTTGTGATAAACTAAGAATCATATGGCTGGCCCAGTGATGATACAAAGCCCTGATATAAACCAGGCTGAAGACTTGGGTTTGGGAACATTGAAAACCAAATATGGCAGCAATTGAAATTAGTAGAATGAGTAGTAATCTCACTGTTTTTCTTTATAAACTGAAGGATGGTGTCATAAAATCCTATAAACATTTTAATTTGAACATTTTAATTTGAACATTTTAAGTTAGCCAATTATGAAGCCTCACTTACGCCCAGGTAGGCTAACACTATGTTTTATTATTATTATTATCTATTAGTTTGGGAGAATTTACGGCGGAAACATTGTCAGAGGCCAACTTGCAGCTAATAGCTTGTCTCTAACCTGAGAAAAATCCCCTGAATCAATGAAGTGAAATTGAATGGATCCCTCCCAACTCATAAAATTAGAATGAGTGTTCTCAACCTACTCAATGACCATGTTGCTAATGATGTCAGACACTGAATGGATGGGCCATTATCAGTCATGACAACAAACAACGTTGTCAGTAAAAACACTAAACAAATCCAAAGTGTCACATTTATTTATTCCCCCCCTTTTTCCACCTGTGTAGCCAGATTATGGCATTTTACTTGTTAACTATGATGCTGCTGCTTATAACGTGTACTTGTCTGATAAGTAAAAACCCTACACTTGTAGATAATGCAAACGCTACAGGCTCGGTTTCGGAAGGAGATCAGTGCATTCATTGAGACAGAATCTAAAGAAACTACAGGCTGGTTTCCCGGACACAGATTAATCCTAGTCCTGGATTAGAAACTATTCTCAATGGAGAATATCAATTGAAAGTGTGTTTTAGTCCAAATCTTAATCTGTGTCCAGGAAACCGGCCCTACCAGGCCTTATGTTCATTTTCCACAGTAATATTTGGATCACTTGTACTGTTGAAAGGAGAGGATGGATGTACATACAGAAGCTCTCAGATCTTAAAAATGTGAAACCATTACCCCATGAACTACACTAAACAAGCTTGCAAACAGATACAAAAATATTCACCATGATGATGCGAATATAAGTTGTTTATAATAATACAGTATTACACACTTCTTCTCGTCACCTTCCCTTCACGTAACTACAGCTTTTGCAATAAAGAAAATACCATGATGAGCAAACTTAAGTATTTTGTACATAACTTTTGATCAATCACTGCTTCGCAACTTTCATGAAATGAAATAAAAAGATTGGCTATCACTTTTTTGCTCATTAGCGAATTAGCTTGCATGTTTTTGGGCAGCACATCCACTTGGTGCTGCCTTAAATCGATGGGTCCTGTTTTGGCTATTGAAGTGCACTTGTAACCTCATCAGTTTGGTCAGCCTTTACAACAATTAAGTTATTATTTTGGTAGGGGAGGAAGACACCTAGCCGCAATACACTCACGGAGCTCTGTAAGTTGACCAAAACTTAACAATGTCTCTGTCTGCCCTAGAAAATTATGTACACTGTACAGGGCATAACCGTCTCAAGATGCCAAGCAGACATGTACAGTACTGTAAAAGCATCCTAGTTCTCCTTTAGTACAGTACTACATATTTGGGCATGTGGCTTTGTAAGGTACACTGTGTGTGTGCCTTGGTACTTAACCCTCCCGTTGTCCTAGGGTCAAAATGACCCGCCACTGTGTTGAACCAACTTTATTTAATTTTTATATTTTTGGGATCATTTGTGAGAAGGAGGCAGTGAGACTTTAAAGAAAGTATCACTGCCTCCTTCTCACAAATGATCCAAAAAATATAAAAATTAAATAAAGTTGGTTCAACACAGTGGCGGGTCATTTTGACCCTAGGACAACGGGAGGGTTAAGTACAGTATCTGGCAACTATTCCCATCTGCTGAACAGTTTCAAATCACTTTTTTTAGTTTTTTTAGTTATTCTTATCAAATGGGGCCATCATCCTTTTACAAGTATGTTAGTTTTATTTTATTGCGTGTGAGGGAGAAGCCAGTAATTTTGGAACAGGCATAAAGTACTGTATTGGCTGATGACCCATGAAGATCTGGCTCATTTACTGTCCACATTATCTACTGATGATGATCACTAAGAGAAGGTATTCCTAGCAATCTGTTCACTATGCATGTCATTATTTGTGTTTGTTTTGTCATGTAAGATTCATATCTGTATTTATATAATTGTTTTTTTGTTTTTCATGACAACTTGTACAGAAGGGTTTCGTTAACATCCACCTGTGATAGATGATTTGCAACAATGTAAATTTGTTTGCTCTAGAAATAAACAACCATGAAAGTTGATTCACTTGTTATAATATACTTTATATAAGTTGGTCTTTCTAGATTTAGTTGATCCACTTTGACTCAAGTGGCAGCAGTATCAGTAGCATTGT